GAATTGGTAACAACACAAGGGATCATACTCTACAGACATTAGATGTAAGTATACATGAGATGATATTTAGATAGCAAATCTTACTAATATTTTCTTTTTGATAAAAAGATGTTGTCCAGATGTGAGACATCAGACCTTGGCTCCTGGGACACCCTCCCACAGCAAAGGACAGGGCATTTATTGTTTTAATATTCAAATTAAATTATGCTAAATACCTCCTCTCTATATATCCAGAAGCCATGTGGGAAGGGCATCATGCTGACTTTTGGCTGATAAAATGGGTATACAAGGGTGTGAAAGTTGGTTGTGGGCTCATCCCTCTGGAGACCGACTGTAGAAGTTAAATGGAAACCTCTAACAGATGGAAGCTATTGTGAGCCCATCAAGAATGTCATATGGACTTTGGACATTTTAGTGCTTCCCAAACAGTAAAGGAATTCCTTTTCTGTCTTCATCTGAGAGTTTGGTCTTTAAGAGAGGTTCAGTGGAAGGGTATCACAGTACTGCCTCCTGACAACCCAAATTCAACTGGAAGAAATCAGATCAAGTCATTGCTTCAACCACATGGTAGTTAGTGTTACCTCTTCTGAGGAAGGTGAAATAAGAACTGGAGGGAGAAATCAACTATAAAATGTAGGGTAACAAAAAAAGCTAATACTCATGGCTCTCTATTGGCTTCCTCATAGCTCGCAATCTACTTCCATCTTGTGCTCCTGATTGCCAGGCTTGCCCAGAGTGCCTCAGTAGCTAGAACTGCCCAGCTGAGCCTCAAGACTGTAATACTTTCCCTACTAGATGAGCAGAAATTAAATGACTAATACCCTGTCTCGAAATACCAAATAAATAAAAAAATAAATAAATAAGCCAGCAGTTCTTCCCAGCTCTATCATTACACCCTGGGGGAACACAGAGCTCTAGTCTGCAAAATTTATATTTTAGTAGAAACTCTTCCAGTCTCTCAGAGCACTTCCTGTTCCTCTTCCATGATATGGTGTCCCTTGTGTGTGTGTTCCATTACAGAGTCACTAACCAGTGCAATCAATGCTTTCCCTCATAGCTCAGATGACCTGAAGCCAAACATAGGTCACATTCAAAGAGTAACTCTTGATAAAGCAAAATTCATGATTTTTCTAATTTCTGGAAAGTCTTAGAGGCAAGAAAGAGATGATGGAAATGATGTAATTATAAGCCAAAAATGGTCAAACAGATCATGTGCTCCAAAATTTAGTAATTTATATTAGAGTATACCAAGTATTAGTTACGCATTTTATCTCAGGCTGTCCATCTTAATATGTAAAATAATAGGTTTTTTTTAGGCAAGGCCACACCATTTTATCCAGTTCTATTTTGGTTAGATTAGTGTAACTACTGTAATTGGTTTCATAAATTTGGTTCTTTATCCAGATTCTTGATTCCTTACTCTGTGGATGCAAGAAACGGCCAGTCAGAACATTCAACAATCATCTATTATTTATTACCTCACTACTTATTTCTAATGTGAACTACAGTCTAGGGGGGGAAAGCTTTCATTTTCCTTCTTTCCCATCCCTCTCTGTGCTGTGACTACACCTGCTTTATGAACTCAATTCTTACATGGGTCCTTCTTCATTTGCAATAAAATCCAGAGAAGTTGGAGGATACTCATTTACTCATCTATTTTCCTCTCACTGACCACTTAAGGCCCAGGCCTGAAGCAGTTGCAGGACTTTCTTTTCAGCACTGGGCAGAAGAAGCAGGATTAGGTGTTCAAAGCAATTCTCAACTACATAGTGTGAGAAAGGTAATCTCTATAAATTCAAGAGCCAGTCTGCTCTACAAAGCTAGTTGCAGGACATTCACGACTACACAAAGAAACCCTGTCTTGAACAACAAAAAAGTACTAATTTAGTTGTCTGTGATGTGCCCAACTATATATAACTCAGGTACACTGGAGATAAGGTGGCCAAATCTCTTTGATATTCTACAAGATCCTAGTCTGTACAGTGAGTACCGGGACAGTCAGAGATTCATAATGAGGCTATTCTTTAAGATAAAATAAAGAAAAGAAAAAGAACAAATTATTAATAAAGTAATAAACTTGATATTTTTGGTGTGACTAATTTGGGACAGTGATGAAGATATAAGGTGTTTAATTTATCCTTGGGGTCCTAACAGGTTTAGATAGATGGCAAGGGATATACACAACTAAGTTAATATAATTAAGTAACATAACAAAAGCTTTCCCATCTCTAAAACAGTCCCCAAACCTCAGCTCCTGTCTCTCCTGTAAGGTGGTCAGATAAGGAGTAAATGTTTCTTCAGTAGAGACAGTCTCACCGGGAGAAGTCAGTCTTTTTCCACAGTGAAATTCCCAGAAAAACTCAAATTTTATAGTGTCTATTATTTCACTAGTTGTTAGCCAAAGGGAGAAATTTAAATGCATCTTAGAATATCCTTATTCTTGCCAGGCAGGCAAGTGTTGAGGATTGATGGGGTGGAGGCTAAAGAGCTTTATGTTCCCATGGAGACTGCAAAATGGGGGCTGTAGGATACTGCCACTGACAGTTACATGAGTTGCCAAAAAAGTAAATAGTGGAAGACCTGGAGGTGGCTGACCCACCATAGTAGAGTGGATACAGAGCACAGATGGTGCCAACTTGCCCTCAAGCACACCCTATGCACTGCACTTAAGCATCTGACCCTTGGGCTTTTGCAAAGCTCCATCCCTAAAAATTCTTTCAACCTCCACAGCTCTTTGTAAATATCTGATTAGCTTAGCCTTATAGTGACTTCAGTTCAAGTCTCAGGATCTCCCCCACAACATGGATGTCATCCGGTCACCACCATTCAAAACTCCTAACTGAAGGTTTAGTAGGCCTCAGGGAAGCACAATATGAATCCTAATTAGATAAGTCAGACTTCATGCCTGCAAATTCCTTTCCTCTCCTTCACAGGAGACAAAAACTCAAGCTGGGGTCTGACTGACATGTGAGCTTATGGCTCAAATTGTCACCTATTTACCACATTGCAGACAAAACATTCTTTTGACTTTGGGTAAATGGTCAACCATCTTTTAAAAGACTTTTGTCATTTCCCCTCCTGATCATTTTATTATTTTACCCTCATTTTATGGAGTTTTGGGTTCAGAAAATTCTTTACGCACCAAGTCTAAGCTTCTGATGTAATCAATCTTTTATTTCTTCTGGGTCATCAGGACTGAGGTAAAGATTATCTTAGATCAGTCATTCACACCTTACTGCTATTAATGACATGTTCATGGGGGCTGAGTAGAAGGCTCAGCACTTAGAACACTGGCTTCTCTTTACTAGGACCTGACTTTGATTTCCAGTACCTACAAGATAGCTCATAATTGTCTATACCATCCAAGATGGGGATCAGACACCATCTTTTGGTTACCACTGGTACCTGGCATGCACTTGGTATGCTCAATGGCAAAACTTATACACCTATATTATATTTCATTCTTTTTTAAGATGCATGAAGAAAACATTTTTACCATATGGAATCACATACATATATTTCTTTTCATCATTTGCATATCTGGTGCCCTAAGAGGCCAGAAGAATGCACCTGATCTCCAGGACTTGGAAATACAAAACTTGGGTACACAAGAGGAGCAGAAGTACAGAGTCAACTATCCAGGTCCCAAATATGTCATTATAATACTGAAGATGAAGAGTTGCAGTGTTCCTTCTGTCTCCTATCACTTGAATGTCAGGAAAGTTCCTCTGGATGGTTGTCAAAGGCCCAATATATTACTCCTTATTTTTATTGTTAACACAGTTCTTTTGATGTGAGCAAAAATAACAAAAGGTTTGTTGAAACCTATCAGAGTCTATTCATACTATATTAAGAAAATTTCCATAATGAGATATGATTTTTTCTTTTTGAAATTCTTTTGAGACAGGATATGTTCACATAGCCATGGCTGCCCTGGAATTCACTATGGGCACAAATCTGGCCTCAAACTCACAGAGATCGGCCCAACACAGTCTCCCAAGTTCTGGGATTACAGCCATGAATCTGTAATTCCAGCTGAGGTGTGTGTTTTTAAAGACCTATCATTGAATTAGAAAATGAATGGAAAAAGTAAGATTTAAAAGGGAGCAACATTGTTTAGATGGACAGTAATATTTCTTGAAATTCTACAATTTAAATGTGCAAACCATTTATTATATGATTGATAATTGGTTTTTTTTTGTTTTGTTTTATTAATTTTATCTAACCAAGTCTAGGAACTCCAATGGAGGAGATCAGAGCCAGAGAGCTTTACAATCCCAAGCCAGGAACCTCTGCAAGAGCAGATCCAGACCAGGGACATTTACAGAAAGAAGTCTGAGCAAACAACCTAGGCTAGAGCAGGCCTGAGACAACAAAATCCACAGGAGTGGAGCAAATCCTGGGAGCACTGAGTGACCTCCAGGAACACGGAGTGACCAATGGGGTATCTAGAACCATGGCACTGACTCCTAAGAACCAGAAAATCCTCATACCATTAATTTTATTATTAACTATACTCTTCTACATCACAGTTTAGTAGTAGAGCGCTACTCTACACAGGAGAAACCGTTTACAAGCCGCATGAAATTAACTACAGACGGATCCTAAACCTAAATGTTAAAAGCGCAGAACATCTGAAGACCCAGGAGGGACCAGGAGTCTCCGCGTTTGGCGAATGTGGTGATATCTCTCCACATGCGACGATATAAGTTCGACAGACACCACCATCTGCGGCTCCTGACGCTCTGCTCCTTGCAGACACAGCCCGGGCAGTGAAGTAATTCAGAGGCTGCCAGCAGAGAGTTGCAAGGATCACTTAGGACTACTGAGGCAGGAAGACGCTAAACTCTGCGTCTGTCCGCTGGCTCCACCCAGCCAGTGGCGGACCCCACACAGGCCGCGAGCCTCAGCGGGCCGCTCCACCTAGTTTGGCGACACTGGCCCCTCGCTTGCCAAGCCCAGCCACTCCTCCCGTCTGTGGAGAGCAACCCCTCACTCACCATGGCGCAGCTGCTGAGCTGACAGGCTCTCTGCCGACAAGAGAGCCCAAGGTGGAGAGCTGAACCAGAAAGGAAGTCTGGCTCCCGGAAGAACCCTCCCATCTGACTGGCTGGTCTTCGGAAGGATCTGATTGGCTGGTGAGGTCTGAGTGACGGGACCCGGTGGAGTAGGAGGGACTCAGCACCATGGTCTGCAGTGGCTTCGAACCTAAAGGCAGACCTGTCCCAGATTGGCTGGAGATTTATGCCAAATTCAACAGCAAGTCTCTTACTAATGTAAATCAATGGGTTCGGTTTTCAAAGGATGTATACAAATTCAGAAAGAGGCCAATCAGACAAAATAGCACAAGAGGAACATTGGGTATATTAAATTTCATTTTTTAAGATGCATGAAGAAAACCTTTTTATTATATGAACTCACATACATATCTTTCTTTTCACCATTTGAATTTCTGGTGCCCCAAGAGGCCAGAAAAATGCACCAGATTTCCAGGACCTGTAAATACAGGAAGCTCTGACCAATCTGAGGTGGGTGCTAGGAATGAAACTTGGGTACACAAGAGGAGCAGCGGTACAAAGTTAACTATCAAGGTCCCAAATATGTCATTATAATACTGAAGATGAAGAGTTGTAGTGCTCCTATCACCATTTACTATGTGCTCAATAATTGGGTTATTTTCTTTGATTATCTTTGCATGTAAAAATGTTTGAACTGTGTTTGTGTGAATACACCTGTGCCATGATGTATATGTAGCACTGAGAGGACAACTCACAGGTGTTTGTGATCCACTTCTTCTATGTGAGTTGTAGTGATGAAACCTAGGAATTCTTTTGACTGCAATTGACCTCAATTGCACTTATTCAGGATTAAAAATTATTTATATATATGCTCATGTAGGAGTGTGCATATGTCACTGCCAAGTTTAGAAATAAGAGAAAACTTGTAGAAGTAATACGGGTCACCCAGAGATAGAACACAGGTCGTCAGGCTTAGCAGTAACCAATTTTAATGAATGAGGCAATTAACTAGCATTCAATTGTGGTTCTAAGAAAGTGTTATAAACAAATGTTTAATCCCCAGGAAAAAACAAATTTTAAAAAATGTGTGGTCATATAAATATTTTCCTTTGCAAAGGGGATTTATTATTCAAATTATCCTATGTTCCTCTATCCTTGTATGAAATTATTTACAATTTGAAGATAAGACAATTGTTTCCTATTATAATATTACTAATAATCTTATTTGAGGACTAGTGAGATGGCTCAGTGGGAAAGATCTGTGGTGTGCAAGGCTGGAAAATTGATCTTGATCATCATATTAAGAGGACCAAAAGTAGAAACTGCAAAGTTGTCTTCTGGTCTCCACATATCTGCATTGGTCCTACAAACGCATAATCATATCATACACACACACACACACCATAAATCTTTGTTACAAAATAAATCTTAGCACCATTACATTATCTGGCATCTCTGGATGATTTCCTTAGAAGACAGTTCTTCAAGATGAAACACCAAATGATTAAATATAGGGACAGGGAGAAGCATGAAACATCAAGATATGTATATATCCTAATATATATTTATATGTACACACACAAATAAATACATACTATATAAATAATTATATTTATATAATAATATTTATATATAAATACATGAAAATAATATATATTTTTAATTTTTTCATTTTTATTACCTTATAAAGAATTCCAATCAAAATTTCCACATCCTCTCCTCCTAACATTTCCCTCTCACTCCCTCAAATACTCTCCCCCATGAAGATGCTTCCATGAAGCAGGAAATTTCAAAGACAGTTCAGTCACTGTCTGCTGTGTCCTGCAGAATGTCTCGCAGACTCTTTCATGAATCAGGAACCCCAAAAGACCATCTCACCTTTAGGCAAGTCCAGTAGTCCTCTCTCTGCGGGTTCTGTGTCCAGTTTATGCAACAGTCCAGGCAAGAGCAGCTTCTTGCCCAAATGACTATCCAACTCCATAAGGATCCTCTTCGATGCCCATCTTCCTTTTGAAGTAGATTTGTGCTGCCAGGAGCAGATGTGTCTCATTGTCATGAAAAGTCCTAAGTTATTAAAACATTTAAAATGCCATATTCTACAGTCTTTGAAAGATATGAAGAATGCCTATCTAACTGAAATATATCTCTATATATCTAGAAAATCTAACATGACTACAAGCTTTACTATTATCAATGATTATCCATTAACAACCTATATTTCCTAACTATACATTACATTTTTAAATGAACTACACAATTACAATACCTTAATCAAGATCAGAAATACATATACATATAACAAAATTGACCGTAAAATCCATATCAATGTAAATTATTCCTATCTATATCATATCCCCCTTTAAATGTAAAAGAACATTTATAAACAATATTTGGGAACATGGGCGTAGATTTTTCTCTCCAAACTGCTTCCTGCTGAATAGGGGCGTCGTTAATTAGGTCTTTCATGGTATAACCTGTGTGCCAGGGTCATCACAGTTGGCAGTTGAGTGAAGTAATTTTTTGAGGGTGTTCACAGCAACCTTTCAGGAGGGCGTGGTCTATCATACCAAATCGGAATAGATGCAATCCATAGGGTCACATCCTCTGTGAAAACAAAAGAAGAAACTCCTTTCCAAAGTATCATGTCCTTAGATCCAAATTTCAAAGTCAAGGCATCAAAATCTCTACGATGGATTAGTTTAGCAGCATTTATAAGCAAATATCTTTTGGCAGCTGTTGCTCCTTCCTCAGCATTCAAACAATTCAAAGAGAGCATAATAGAATACAGTATCAAGATTCTCTGTGTATTTTCCATCTTTGTACGCTTTATTTTAACCTCTATTTCGTTTATTTTTTACTTTTATTGTATATTCTCTGTATCTTTGTCCTGGAATAACTCTGTAGACCAGGCTCTCCTTGAACTCTCAGAGATCCGCCTGTCTCTGCCTCACAGGCATTGGGATTAAAGGTGTTTACTACCACACCTTGAACTCACAGAGATCTGTTTGTCTCTGCCTTCTAGGCACTGGGATTAAAGGCGTGTACTACCACCCACAACTTCTCTTTTTCTTACTTTTTTTTTTTACTTTAAGAATTTTAACTTTTAGTCTGCACATTATTTTCAACACACTGTAAATCATTTAAAAATTTTCTTTGTCTTTGACGTTCTCTTTACTGTATCTCTCTCTGTTTTTCTGACCACATGAGTCTTTAAATTATTGAGCAATATGAGTAGGATTAAAGCCGTGGCTTTGCCAGCTAGATCCAGTCCATTCCTTAGCTTTCCAGCCTCATGGCTGAGGTACCGGTTGTAGCCATGTTTACTGCCACAACTCTATGGCATTTCAAGGTCCCTGCCAGCAAGCGAGCCACAAAACACTTAAATGGTGTTGACGAAAAGCTGAACGCATGCTTTTCGGTTTTCAGCCGTAGCAGGAAAAAAGCTGTGCTGTTTAAAAATGCCGGCTTTCTGGGCCGTCCTGCCAGGGCAAACTCTGACTGAGGCAGGAGGGCCGGCTACCAAGAGAGGACTTGACTGTTGTCTGTTGTAGCCCGAGAGCTGGCTTACCAGGGAGGATCTTAACCTGCGTCTGTCTGGAGCGGGAGAATCATGGCGACTCTTCCTCTAACCTTCTTTCTCCCAGAATTCTCTTCTGTATACTCTGCCTACCTAATTTTCTCTCCAATAAAATGGGCCAAGGCAGTTTCTTTATTAATAAGAAACCATTCCCACATCAACACTGAGTAGTGCACTAATGTGTATATTTGTAACACTTTCTTTATCCATTCTTCCATGGAGGGGCATCTAGGTTGTTTCAAGGTTCTGGCTATTACAACTAATGCTGCTATGAACATAGTTGAACAAATGCTTTTGTAGTATGGTTGGGAGATGCCATGTAGCCACCAGAGGGGCAAGACACAAGCCAGAACCTTGCCAATAGGCCACAGTCCTTGTGGTACAATATAAAATAATGGAAATTGGTTAATTCTATATGTAAGAGGTAGCTAGCAGTATGCTTAAGTGATTGGTCAAGCCGTGATTTAAATAATATAGTTCCTGTGTAATTTTGGGATTGAGCAGCTGGAAACAAACAAGTGGCCTCCTACAGCAACACACTTTGAAGATTAATACAAAAACTTCATGCTGATGATAATATACACTCATCTCTGGATAATGTTCAAAAAGGAGACAGCCTAGACACAGTTTGCATTCCTCATATGCTGTCATCATTAAGTTTCTTTTAGGCTCATGCTTTATGACAGACTTGGAACAATTTCAATTTGGAGAGGAAACTGCAAGTCTAGTCACTTAGGCAGATGGGGGACTTATACAGCAAATATATTACCAGAATTATTTTTCAAGTACACCAGTGATCTGATACAACAAGTCATTCTTCAGTAACAGAGTCTTGAGGTAAAGGTACCAGGATGAGAAAGATAGGAAAAGTAGAAGACAAAAAAAGTAACAGCTGGGTTGGAGAGTTCTTGTACCAGCTATGTCTTATGTCAACCAAGTAAGTGTTTTAAGTAGAATATCATCTTGTGTACTACTTCCATGGGGGAAATGGAAAGAAATGAGAGACTTCTATGAAGTCAGGAGAAAGTATCATACAATGGGACAAAATTAGGAGGAAGCTAATCAAACAATGGTGCATAAGGGGAAAAGGGTATTCCGAGAATATTACTGACTAAGCCCACAGTGGCCTTGGGACTGATCAGCATACATCATTGTTGTGGGAAGAGTTGAATTCTCATAATCTGAAGCAATCCCTCCACAAAGGCCTTGGCCACCAGCCCATTACCAGTTCTCTCAAGCACATCCCTGGTTTTATTGTCAACACATCAGGTCCTTAGAGAAAACTCCCAGGGCCTAAGTCCAAAGGCCTAGGCCCCCTGCTGTTACTAGCTCTCCCAAGAATACTCCTCACTGCCTGAGGGCCTAAATGAAAGCCTTGCTTGATCAGGCCAGACCTTAACACAACAATGTTTTACTTTTTTAATACTTGTCACCTAGTGTCATATTTCCCATCTGACAGAACTATGCTTTTCTCAAGAAGAAAACTAACTTTATGG